TAACGTTTAGAATGAAAGTTTTTTTCAACGTTGATTTATCAACGTTAAATCAACGTTAGATTCAAACGTTATATCAACGTTAATTCGACGCGAAAAAACGTTACAACAACGTTGAATTTACGTTGATACAACGTTTAAAATGATAGTTTTTTTAACGTTGATTTATCAACGTTAAACGACTGTAAAATACTTTTTCACCATCAAAACGTGCTATGTATGTCAAAATGTATATATGTAAGTAAACGTGCTATGTGCGTCAAAATATGATCACCATCAAAACGTACTATGCATGTTCATTAGTGTTGCTGTACATTATGAAGGTATATTATGGATATTAAATCTATTCATAGTCTATACTTAGACTATTTAGAACTTTTTCAGTTTAGTTTAGTTAAAATAGCTAGGTATGATTAAAGAAAGAAATAAAACTTGTTTTATTCAAAAATACATATTCAAATATTACATATATTTACATGTAATTGAATAAAATCTACACAAACTTCTTCTCTTTTCCACCACCTTTTTGAAATAAAGCGTAATTTAGAAAGTCAAACAATGTTCCATTAACCGAGGGTTTTTTTGGTCCATTGAGTACAATATAAGAAGCTGTAAATAAAAAAATATATTAAAAAAAAACAAAAAGAGAAGATTTAAAAAATAAATAATGAATGGAAAAATGTTACAACTTATGAAGGTATATCTTTTTCAACGCCATATAGATTAGTGTTCTTAAAACATATTTTTCCACCTTTGCCCTTCATATCCATGGAGGCCATATAACTTTTTGAAAATACTCTGAGTTTTTAAAAAATAATATAACTGTTAGTTGGTTATTAATAGCTTTTTCAAATATTTAATTTAAATAAAACAACCTTTTCAATATATTAAAAATAAATTAATAATCAAAATATAAAACATTTCTAGCATTGAAAAATAATTTTCGGGGTGGCCATATAAAATTTTTATAAGAAATTTTATGTGGCCATTTATTGATGGTTTAACGTCCATGTTTATACACTTATGGGGCTTGGCAAGGGATCAAATAATGTCATTTGTTATGTTAAATAGCATGCATTTTCTAAAGCAATTTTTTACAATTCCATGCACTTTAAGGCGTTAACCAGTTTTGCAGACCGAGAATGGGTATTTTGAACATTATAAACCCATCAAAAATTAAAAAAGGAAGAATTAATGAGGAGCTTTGATCAATTTTTTACCTCTTTAGAGGATAATAGAGGATTTTAGAAGTGGTTTAAAAAAAAGAGGACTTTAGAGGATTTTAGAGGAGCTGCAGACACCCTGATTATAAATGAGGTAACTCCACCAATTAACTGTAATTGATTTATCTGTAAAAAAACATGAAGTAAATCTAATATTATGCTTGTGGAGATATATTATATTGTGGAGAACCATCCAAACCACACAAGTGGAAAATTTGCATCCAAGTTTCCACTTGTGTGCAAATCTTGCACCCACTTGTCAACATTCTCATTATCACATTTTTCTTTTGTAGTTGTGAATTTAAAATTTTCACAATACCGTTTGCTTTCTTTTAGAATTGAAATAGTTATACAAATAGTTATATATTTTGTATCAACAAAATAACTCTTCTTACCACATTATTTAAAAAATAATAATTGTAATATATAGATGTAATACCTGAAGAGAACTTAGTTTTTATTTGTATAAACTGAAGCCAATTCTTCTCTGCATTTTAGTGCAGTCAATGCTTTGGTACCTGGAAGCCGACAAACAGTTTTATCACTAATCCAATCAGATGGAATTACTTCTTCTTGTAAATCTTCATTCCAAACAGCTCCTTTCCGCATATTCGATTTTGAAAAAATTACATGAACTAATATAAAATGAAGAAACCATAATATAAGTGTACTAACAGGCCTAATTAAACTAGCTAAATTTGAACATTTTATAACCATGATACTTGCTAAACAATAATATTAGTAGATATTATAAGCAAAGATAAGATTTTCTTTATTTTATAAATTTATTATATTTTAAACTCATTTTTATTAATTTATTTATTACTCTATTATTCAGCAGAGTTCTGAATATATTATGTTCAAATAACTTAAGGCTCAATAACAAAGACAAATAATGAAAGAATACTAGGCTGCTAAAACATAAACATCTACATAAGATAATTATGGAATATTGAAAAAAAATAGAAATACAAAAAAACAAAAATACTCATTATTAATATAAAATATAATAGTATAATATAAGGTATTTTATAATATATGACACAATAATATCTACTTTTAATTAAAATATAAAAACAACAAAAATTAAAAAAGAAAATATTTTGATAAATAATAAATTATCATTCAAACAATTTTCAAGACCAAAAAATAACTTGTAACTTATTTTTTTACTTATCTTCATCTAATAAACATTACTTATTTTTTACTCATCTTCATCTAATAAACATTAATATTAATACCAATTTTAAACATTATTAGAATTTTTTTTTTATCAAAAAATAAAAATATTACATCAGTTACTTTTTGGGCTTTTCTTATTTTACTTAAAACACCAACTCAATTCTAGGCTTTTTTCATTATTGAGTTTTAATTTGTAATGTTGAATTAACACTGAAAAAAAAAATATTAGCAGACAAAAAGAAAATATTTCTTTATTGAAATATATGTAAATATTTCAATAAAGAAATTTAAGATCGATTTTTATTAATATAAATTTATATCAATCAATCTAAATTTTTTTCTTTTCCGCCACCTTTTTGAAATGAAGAGCATTTTTAGAAGTTAGACAAAATGCCATCAATTAAAGTTTCAAGGAGAAATTTTTGAATATATAAAAAATGAGAATAAAAAAGTTTTACATATCTTATAAAGGTATACCTTTCACTACACCATATAAATTAGTGCTCTTAAAGCATATTTCCACCTTTCCCCTTCATATTCATGGAGGTCACAAAATTGTTGGAAAATATTCTAAATTTTAATAGATAAGAGGACTGATATTAATTGTGCGAGAACTATTTTTAATTTTTTTTTTTTAATTTAAATTGAACTCATTATCAAACAATTTTTTTGCTAAATAATTTAATCCTTAAAATTCCTGAATAATCAAAAATTATTTTGATTACCTCAGCATTTTAAAGATATTCCATCGATTGCAATTGGATTTACCTAAAAAAAAACAACAAGTAAAGCTAATATTATTGTTTGAAATTTTAATTATCTTTATACAAATACTCATCATATTTTTAAAGTGACTGATAAAAATGGATTTAATTAAAATCACTTCATTTGTATTAAAAAATTAATATTAAAGCCTTAATCATACATTATACAAGAGTATTTTGTAATACAATCTAAATAAATGTTGCGATATGTAATTTTTTTATCCAAAATTTAGCTTCTGTAAGCTTTAGAAATTTTTAAAATAAATTATTGATGAATTTGGATCTACATGTACTAATGTTTTTATATTGTTGTAATGTTTGTATTCATTCCCTGTTAGTTTCTGTAAGTCAAAATTTTAAGGTGTTTCCATAATAAATTCTGTTATATCTGAAATTTAGTGTTAGTCTGAATAATTTAATTTCTAAAATCTGTTTTGCATTGCCTGTCTTATAACATCTTTACTTGGAACAAAAACCATGTGGTTTAAAAGTGAGCTAGAAGCTTTCAACAATGAAGAAAATATTGCATTCAGTAATCCTAAAAATATATTCAACCTGTCAGCAAAATGTCAATAATCCAAGTATTAGCATCATTAAAAATTCATCTTTGCTGCATTACATTTATTTTGGTCCAAGTAGTTAAGGATTTTTTTAAATTTCAAAAAACAGAAGTAAATGTTTTTTTAATATCACTTTATCTCTTTTGATTAATGGTGATACTGCACTAACTGATGAAACACATTGACAGATGTAAGGCCAGTATAAAAGTCGCAAGATCTATTATTTTTAAAATAAATGTTTGTATACAAGTAAATTGCAATAGCACGATTTGTTTGGATTATGTTTATATACAAGTTTGTCTGTTTTCATAGTAATAACTGATGTTTTTGAAGTTAATTTTTCAAATAAATCTTCATTTTTTTATTTCGTGCTGAAGTTCTTTTTTAAAGTTATCAATTTCCTTTTTTATTTTTTGATGCTCTATTAAAAAACAACGCTTGATATTAAATTTAACATAATTTAATGGATCATTTTTTGAAAAAACTGTATTATATTTACATTTAATAATATCAGTCTTTGAGCATTGTAGCCCAAGTTAAACGAAAAATATCGATTTTTAAACGATAATGTTCTTTCAGGAAAACCGTCTGAACATGTTTTCGATCTCTTGAAAATTCTATATGATATAAGTTCAGTATATACATTTTTTTTCCATTATAAATCTCTATAACTTTAATCGTTGAAATAATGTTTACGATTTTACTTCCATTTCTGCGCGCGCATAAATTTTATATCGTATTTTTTGTCAACAATGATTGAAATAATGACGTTAAAATAACGTTAAATAATCAACGTTTAAACTGTAACGTTGATTTAACGTTGAAATAACGTTAAATAATCAACGTTTAAACGGTAACGTTGATTTAACGTTGTGACATAGTTGAACAACGTTGAATCAACGCTTCAACCGAATTTCAACGTTGAAAAAACCCAACGGGCATTCGAACATTTAATCAACGTTTAGGTAATGTTCGTTCTAAATGTTTAGATTTAATTTAGTTTTGATTTAGAACGTAGGTCAATCGAATGTTCCATTTAAACCATATCTAAATGGTTCGTTTTAAACGCTATTTAAACTTTATTTAAATCTTTCGATTAAAACTTCGCGACGTTAAACTTTATTTTACGGCGCTTATTTAAAGAAGCATAAATAAATACAAAATATTGATAAACGAATCAAACTTTTCTTTTATTTAAGCTGCTTTAAATAAGCACCGTAAAAAAAAGTTAAACGCTGAACGCATTATCTAAATACTCATAAACAAATCAAACATTAAACAAATAATTTTTTATTTATATAAGTCTAAGATACAAGTAAAAACATTTTATTTATTATTATATGCATTATCGTATTCGTCATCATGATCGGCTCCATAATGATCATCGTCATCTTTGTTTGAACCGATTAAGCCTCTTCGTCTTAAGAATTAGAAAAAAGGACACAACCTATCCTATTTCCACCTATACGGAAGAGAGCCATTCTAAGATGGAAATCAATGCACGATACCGTATTGCGGATACCGAAGTCATACAATCTCTTTTCTAAAAATAATAAAAATAATTCAACAAACATCTTCATTCTATTCATTTAACAACTTTATAAATCCATAGTTTTATAGATTATAGAAGATTGTACAATAGTAGAGTGTACATTGAGTAATTATGGTAACAATTGACAGAGAACTTTTCTTTAAAACTCTGTAAAATATATAACATTTATATAATAAAAACCTTATTAAAAAAATTTGCAGTTATCGTAGTTATGGGTTGATAAGTTATATATATATATATATATATATATATATATATATATATATATATATATATATATATATATATATATATATATATATATATATATATATATATATATATATATATATATATATATATATATATATATATATATATATATATATATATATATATATATATATATATATATATATTCATTGTCTTGAGGAGCCTACTGCTCCTCAAGACAATGAATAATGGGAGTTATCAAACTTTATATATATATATATATATATATATATATATATATATATATATATATATATATATATATATATATATATATATATAAAGTTTGATAACTCCCATTATTTATTGTCTTGAGGAGCAATAGGCACACTTAGTATCCTGTTTAATTGAAACTTTCTATTTAATTGAAAAGTTGTGGAGATACCGACAGTTTCACTATAATATAAATAAACATGTAAAAATAAAATTGTAATTCTTACACTTCTTAAAGTTTAAAAACTAATCAACAAACATAATAATTAAAATTTATATATCAAAATTATATATATGTACTAACACGCAATTTAAGGTAAAAATTAAGTATTACTTGATCAATCCATTAGATTGTACTTTGATAAAGTAGTTATGTGGATAATGGTATTTTAGAACTCAATTTTTGGGCTTACAGAAAAAGAGACTTTGCAAGTACTGATGGGTTAGCTATTATGTAAATAATTATATAGATATATTATGTATACAAAGTTATTTTAAATAAAAATTTACTAAAACATTGTAAATTTGATTTTAAAGTCTATCCTAAAAGGATTACATTGCTAAATATGTTCATAAGTCATAAAATTAACAGGTTTATTTAAAAATAAAGGAGTTCTATATAAAAGATATAGATTTAGACATCTTACTTGATTGGTCCATTCTAGAGTCTTTTGGTAAAGTAGTCACACTTAATTTGAATAAAGATATCTTAGAATGCGATTTAATGCTTGAGACAAGGTGGCTGTGGAAGTGGTGATGGTTTAACTAAAATATAAATCCGAGTGTATATTGTCTGAGATATGTTCATTACAATTATTATTAGTCTTCAAAGATGTAAAGTAGGACAACTTACTTGCATAATCAATTGAATATACTTGCAGTACCACATCCATAATCTTTTTGTATAATTAAACATTTGTAACTTTTTTTTATACTTAAATGCATCATGCATGCATGCTATATTATAATACAGCATGCATGAATAATGCATGCAAGTATTTTTGGCACTAAGGTCTTCACAAACTTTATTTCATGTTTATTGTTACATCAAATTAGCTAACCTGTCAATATTCGTACCTTTTGCATTAACATTAACATAAAATTCTTCCTCAACTGAAAAATAAAAACTCTTTTACTATTCCATAAAAATACTATAACCATAAAAATGGTTAATCATTTACTAACTAAAACTTGCTTCTTTTTTTTTTTTACATAAAAATTAGAACAAACTAAATAAAACTATTATTTTTAAATTTATAATATATATATATATATATATATATATATATATATATATATATATATATATATATATATATATATATATAAAAATATATATATATATATATATATATATATAAATATATATATATATATATATATATATATATATATATATATATATATATTATATATATATATATATATATATATATATATATATATATATATATAATATTATTTGCTTTAACAAGCGATTTATTCAATTTTTAGTGCAGTTTTTCCATAATTAACCATTTCTACTGTAATTGCATTAAACTAGTAATATTAACTCTGAAGAAATTGAAAAAAAAAATAATTTAGTATAGAATAATGCACAATTATGGATTAATTATATGTTATTATTTTCAATTTATATATTATTAGTTTCTATATAAACATTAACAAATTAAAATGAAACCTTTAAAAGAGTTGTAAAATCAGTACTTTTGCGCTTTTTTGATATCTGCTGATTATGAATGCTTTCTTCAGTTTCTGATATTTAAAAGTTTTGCAATCCTCATAACAATCTGTAAAAGAAATAACAAAACATCTTATCCTATCTATTAAAGCAATGACAAATAAATTTAAAAAGTAAATTATTTAACATTTTGTGAATAAAAATTATCATATCACAAACTAAAATAACAATTCAATAAAATATCAAGCTTCTGGTTCTTCAAACAGACTGGCGATATGACATTTTGCTAAAATGTTAACACTAATTTGGTTGAAGGTACATCAACACATAACATTAACTTGTTAAAAGCGTTTTAAATAAGTTTAGTCATCTCGTTTTTGAGCTTTTTTTGCAGACTTTAGTTTTCCTAATTCCGAGGGATGATATACTTATACATACTATATATTTCAACCCGTTAAAACTTCAAGCTTGGTAGGTTTTTCATAACATAATAAAATTAAAAAAAAATAATGCTATAAATATTTCAATAGCTTTTAGATATAGAGCATAAGATAAAAACTAAACAATTTGAACTCTCTTTTAACTAATTTAAACTTTAAAGACTCGAACCAATCATCAATGTACCTTTTAAATATAACAGGAATTACCTTTAATCTTACATTAATTTTTAAGCGTTGAATTTTTATTATAGCTTTTCAGAAGCTTGAGCCATTAGATTATGATTTAAAAGGTAAATATCTGACAGATGTTCAACTATTAGAATCAAAGTACAGAGTTAGCACTTTATCTTGTGATTACTAAAAGAATAACTATTAGTTTTAAAAATCACTGCAGTTTTTATTTACAGAATCTTTACAGAAATAGCCATTAACTTATTTATTATTTTAGGAAAATCTAAATATTAAAGGAGTAAAAAAGTCACAAAAACTTACCACTTGCATGTGTACTTGGCTGTTTCCTGCTGCTTTAATTGTTGTTGCAACTGACTGGACTGTATATAAAATATTAAATGAAATTAAACACACAAAACTTAACAATAAAAAATATATTTATGCGGATTTCATAAAATTATGTAATATAGCTATATATATTATTGTTCAAAATATGTTAACTTTTCTACTAAAGAGAAAATAAATGATACAATATAATAATCATATCAGACATAAGTAAATTTATTTTCTCTTTAGTGGTTATCATATAGGAGTATGAATACTACTTAAATTTTTAAAAATATTTTTTAGTTTACATTAAAAGCCTTCACTAAAACTGAAGATCCATTATATAAATATTTCAACCTCACAATTTTTAATTGGCACTGACTGCACTAAAAGTATAAATATAACATTGCTATTCGATCAATATAACATCTATCATAAACAAATAGATGTTAGGTCTTAAAATAAACAAAAAATAATAATTTTATTTAGTTATTTAAAAAGTAGCTACGACTTAAAATGCATAATTTTCCTCTAAATTTTTAGAGAAAATTTATGCATTTTAAGTAATATTTTAGCGTTGTTAAAAACCAAACAGAAAAAACAATTTAAGAAATAGTTTAAAAAGATGCTGAAATTGCTACTTTTCTGAAACTACTGCTACTTTTTTGAAACTGCTATTTTAGTAGCTATAACTAAAAAAAAGAATTATCAAAATATATTGATACTGTACTTAAAATTACTTTTAATCGCTCATACAATATCATCGAAGAACTTACAGGACTTTTTAACTCCTTCATTAGCCACAATATAATAATAAAAACAAATTTCTTTTATTTTTTCTAAACCTTTATTACATAATTTAAGATTAATAAGAAGCTCTAATTTTTAATCATAATGAAAGATTCAAAATGTCCGACACATTTTGTAAGAAACTAATTTAATTTAGTTCCGTACGGAAATTGTTTGATTTAGCTTTTCAACGCAAATTAAATATTCAGAACACGTTTAGATTAGATTCCTAAACGTTTAGATCGACGTAAATGCCATCTAAACGTGATCTAAACCAATTTTAAACCAACAAATGCCCGTTGGGAACGTAATAATGCCGGCTAGGACCAGGTTATTTGTGCGGCCGTGGCGCAGTGGTTAAAGCGCTTGCTTTATAAGCAGGAGATCCAGGTTCGAAACGAGCATTGTACATATTTCGTGTCACGGTAAGGAAGGAGGCGTGAACTTCCTGGTTAAATGCACTTCCACGGTACTCTGTGACAAGACCGTTGTTAGGTCTTCTTGGAGCACCTAAATGATAAAAAATAATAATAATAATAAAAAAAAATTTCTTATTCTTTTGATATCTTCTACAACGAGTACATCATTTCTTACTTTCGCACACTCGATAATAGTGTTGTGTAATGGTAGTATATGCTCCTGGTGAAACCTCTCTTTTTGTAACATAATAGGTTTTGAGAAAATAAAATAACAAACTTTCCAGAGAAAAGCAGTTTCACTTGATCAACGTAAGCTCTTAGGTTCTGGTCCAACAGAATTTTTCTAAATCCCGAGAGCCTCCTCCAACATTAATGATATGCATTCAGTAGCTCTTGTCTAATTTGGTGGTCCCTAACATTCAAGTTATATTGGTTTCCTTTTTTGTAGAAAATGATCTTAATAGGGTTCTTGAGCTTTTTTCGCCAACCAAATTCATTTGATCTTTATCACTTTCGCTAATAGTACATTGCATGGATGCCATTTCTTAATTAAATCATAATAGAAAAAAACAAAAATCAACTAAATCGTGAACCAATTACCTTTCAAAAAATTATTGCTCAGTTTTCAATCAAATAAATACAGTAAATAGATAACCATTTACTTAACTTATTTATTTATCTAACTTTATACAAATCGGAAATTGATTTAATATTACTAGAATTATGTTAAAAAAATAAAATTACTTTTTCAAGAAGATAAACATCACAAAGCTAAACAAATAAAAACTAAGAATGAAAAATCAGTAATAAAAATAATATTACTTATAGTTAAAGAAATTTTATTTTTTTCTCAGCGTTCGTAGCATAGGTAGGATTTTAAGCTCCTTAGCAAGTATATATAGGATTTTAAGCTCCTTAGCAAGTATAGGTATACAATTTGATTCTTACTTTCATAAATGTGAAAAACGTGATTAGATCAAAACTATTTGCAGATTTTTTCACACGCAACTATTTTTAGTATTTCAGAAAAACACATGTTTCTAAAGACTCAAGTTATCCTTTCGTTTTAAGACCTCAGTGTTATCTAAAGAGTTGTTCAGCATTAAGAATGCGTTAAAATAATATACAACGTTTGAAGAAGAATTTTTAAAATTATTTAAGCATGCATCATTTTTAAACAAGGCCTAAAAAACGGGTTTTTTTTTGCTGCGAATTATGGAACAGATTTTTTTTCAAAACGCATTGTAAATCTAGCTGGACCTGCTCAATCTGTTAAGGTTGAGCCTCTTTCTGCTTGATAGTATTTGTAGAAAAGAGAAAGAGATGCAACTTTACGACAATAAAGTTGCATCTCTTTCTCTTTTCTACAAATACTATCAAGGTCGCAGCTCAAAGGAGTTATCATCTCTAGTTCTGTCTACAAAAACTCATTTTCACTTGATTCGTTGTTCAGCAAAGTATCATCGTTTACTGCATATGTCCCAGCATGCTCTAAATATTTTTATTAGTCTAGTTTTTTTTCCCGCATTTCAACCCTTTGGAACTCTCTCCAATCTTCATGTTATCCTTATACAACTTTCAACTTTAAAACTTGTACAACTTTCAACTTTAAAACTTTACTAATTTCAACCGTTTCCTTACTCTCTAACTCTATTTTTTTTCTTTCTAAAAACCCCTAACTTAATAGTGGTTGCTTGAAACCTTGTTGGAAGTGAATCAGATTTAAATAAAAACAACAACACTTTTACTAGTAAATTTAAATTGCAAACAGAGGTCCTAAACCACTACACACTATTTTTTTCTAATCAATTCAAAATCAAAATTAAAACTATTGATAAATGATAACAAATAAAATTTTTTTCTGAAGCTTTTCATTCTAGTTTTATGAACATCTCAATGTACAGTCACTGTGTTTTTTATGCACTGAAATATATTAAAAATCCATTTTATGTACATTATGATTATAAGAGGTATTTTATATATATAAATATATATACATATATATATATATATATATATATATATATATATATATATATATATATATATATATATATATATATATATATATATATATATATATACACACACACATATATATATATATATATATATATAAATATATATATATATATATATTATATATATATATATATATATATATATATATATATATATATATATATATATATAAATATATATATATATATATATATATATCGATAGATACACGATATATACAAATAGATAGATAGATACATATATATATATATATATATATATATATATATATATATATATATATATATATATATATATATATATATATATATATATATATATATATATATACGTATATATATATATATATATATATATATATATATATATATATATATATATATATATATATATATATATATATATATGTATATATATATATATATATATATATATATATATATATATCGATAGATACATGATAGATACAAATAGATAGATAGATATATATATATATATATATATATATATATATATATATATATATATCGATAGATACATGATAGATACAAATAGATAGATAGATACATATATATATATATATATATATATATATATATATATATATATATATATATATATATATATATATATATATATATATATATATATATATATATATATATATATATATATATATATATATATATATATATATATATATATATTTATATATATATATATATATATATATATATATATATATATATATATATATATATATATATATATATATATATATATATATATATATATATATATGTATATGTATATATATATATATATATATATATATATATATATATATATATATATATATATATATATATATATATATATATATTCTGCATCTGAAAAAAAATAAGGCATGTTCCAGCAGTTTAGTTAGGGGATAAGGCATATTCCAACAGTTTAGTTAGGGGATTTCTAGTGGAAAATATATTTATATTTTTCTAGTAGAAATTCATTGATATTTTTAGTGGTCAATTGTTGCTCGGCTTGTCAGTTAACTATTGGACAGGTATTCGCATGAACCGGCCAAAAGCTAGCAAACATGTGGTCAAGATAACAATTTTGGCTCATAAATAGCTGGTAAAAAATGCACATGTGACTTATGGTTTACAAAGTAATTGATAAGCAATAATACAATGGACCGCTATAAATGCAAATTGCGTCCACTGGAAACTCACTATAAAGTGTTTCCTGGGTAAGATGATGATACAACAACAGACAAGAATCTTTATTCATGATTACAGATAAAATTCATCTAATCAAAGTTCTAACTCAGCTAGCAAGCATACGTTGGCCAACGTTGGAAGCATTGGGCAATTTTTTTAACTACGCTATAACGTCTAACCAAAGTCGGGCCAACGTCGTAATACAACTGGTTTTAGAATGCGTATAGTGTGTTATAGTTTTTAATGTTAAAATAATTTTCGACTATTTTAAAATTTATTTATTCTCTTAATCCCCCAAAGTTACAGGTAAAAAATACAAAGAGCATAAATTAGTAGTTTATACTCTAAGTTGAAATTCTAATCTATTTATTAATCAAAGATAATGGCTCATTCCTACCATTTGCTTGGTTTACTCCTACCCATGCATGGGTAGGAGTGAACCAGTCGCAACACCTGCGTTATTGTTTAAGTTATTAAAAATATTTTGATATTTCATGTATTACTATTAGAAATCTAATACTTTAGGCTACCTTAGGCTCCTTATCCTATACTTTTTCCACTTTTAGTTTCCTTGATATAATCGATTTAAAAAAATGTGACTAACTCCAACCCATCCTCCTTTACTTTTAATAGCTGGAATATCAGGTTCACGTACAGTAAAATTCTTAACCTAATCATAAAAACCAATATAGTGATTTGAACTTTTTTCTACGTTAGGGGAGATGGCGGCGCATTGATCGCCGGGGTAGTATGATCTTTTAGCTTTTACTCGTTTACTTTTGCCTTAATTTAACAGAGATTGCAATTTAATTAACCATTATACTACCCTTCATTGCTTAATTGTAATAATTTTTGATGAGATCAACTTCAGCGTTAAGAAAATTGAAAAGACTGTTTTTCATCAAGAAAAGTGATTTTTGAAAGTTGTAAACAAATTCAAATAAATTTTTTATTAGATTTCCGTATGACTTTACAACCAATTTATTGTAAACTCATATGTGTTAAGTTTATAATAAATTTGTTTTTTTGAGTTGGTTACTGTATTTATAGAAGTTATTGGCATCAATATATCAACTGTACCTAATGGGGCACATTGATCGTTGACTATTCGGGGCTCATTGATCGGAGGATCAAAGTGCCCCATATAACTTATATTATAAGATTTAAATTTTTTGTTTAAATTTTATACATTTAAACTTATGACGAATAAAAAATTTTTAAATAAACTTTTAAAATTTCATTTTTAAAATGTAATAGTGTTAAAAACTAATATTAAGGTGGTAGACTGCTAAAAAAATTATTTTTGTATTTTACAATATTTCAATAAATTTTTTTTCTTCGAACATGATAAATACATTAGAAAATTCATAATTTTTAATTTTTTTTTTCATATATATTTTGGGCTAAAACAGGTGATTTTAGGCCAAAAACAGGCTAAAATCTTGGCAAAGATATCTCAAAAAGTATAATTTATTAAA